CTATTTAGGGTCATGTAACTGATTTGAACCTAATTCAAGGTAAAATCATTCATATTGAAATAAATGCACTCAAAGACATTCTCACCAGTCGGTGTGTCGTAGCATTGATGTAGATTGAAACTCACTTTTGTCTTTTGGGGTGTAGAGGGTCTTATCAGTCTGTATGAAGATGTACCCAGACTGGAAGGACAGCATGACCACTTTCTCCAGCACTTGGTCAGGAAACTGAGCTTTTAGGTACACATAGTGCTTCGTGCTGGCCTCCCTACTGAAGTCTCCAGCAGGGATCTGAAATCAGTATAAAGAGACACCAATAGTGCATCAGAAGCAGGGTGAGAGGGTCTAAATCATGATCGCTTCTGGATTTCTTTATTAAACATTTGTGGCTACGAAAATGTTGCCAACACAGTGACCGTCTCAGAATATTCAAATTACCGTTATTCGTCCAAGCTGCTGGAAATGATTACTAGCATTAAGTGTCACAGCTGTGTTGGCCAGCTCTTTGTCTTTGGTTGGATGGCTCAACACGCTGATGATGACGTTGATGTCTCCTCCAGTGCAGTCTTGACACTCCACAAAGATTTGTTCTGCTGTACCTACACGCAACGAGTTGGGGGCTGACATCACCTTCCTGCAGCGGTGAGAGGAAGAGAGAGTGACAAAGTGCAGATCTCTGCCTGTTGCGTCTCCCCTTCCCTCCAAAACAAAGTCTCACTGAACGGTCCTTCGAGGCTCCCTGAGAATCACGATGGGGTCAAAGATAAGAGCAGAAGGGGACTTATTCAGTCATGTATAGATCTTGACTTTATGGGATCGTAACATCTAACGTGTGGTATGGAAGATGTTCCCATTGAGGACTAGATAAAGAAATGGCTGTACTTACATTTATAAATGAGCACAAACCTTATTAGGCTGATGGGTCCAGTGTGTGTGAGATTTGCTGGACGCACAAACTGGTAGAATCTCACATGCACATGAGACAGAACACATGATGTCCCACAGACTTACGTCAGGTGGAGATAATGAAGGATTTGTGGTGATTATGATTTTTGGGCCTTTATTTAGTGTTGTATATTTTGATCCTGGGTGCTGGCTGGCGCTGCTGTGTTTTCAGGCTGGGCGGGGCGACCAAGAGGAGTGCTCTCACTACCCGCACCTGTGGCCAATCAGCAATCTGACACGAATTATAGCCTGCTGTCTCCCAGGCCTCCTCATCGGATCATTACTTCTCATCGACGCGACTCTACGCCACACACCAGCACGCCACACACCAGCACGCTTACGCAGCCTTCGCTCCGGATCCTGCACTCGCGACCTTCTCCTCACGAGCCTCTTAAGAAATTAAGATTTTCGTTTGTTGACCACAAGACTTTGTCCCCGGTTCTGCTTTTGGATCCTGTCCTCATCCCCCATAACAGGATTGTTGTTACCATTTAAACACAATTACAGGTTTGCCTATTTGTCCAAACATTGCGAGAGTGGATCTGCCAGAGGAGTCGTTCCCAACCTTTCTCGTGTTCGACCCCTGACTTGTGAAAAGCCTCATTGCGGGAATCTTTGTGAGATTTAGGATTTGTGTTTCTTCATTTCACAAGAAAAAAGTCAGAATAAATAAACAGTTTTGTCTAACAGAAATATTTTCTATCTTCTAACCTCAGATTTATCCTGATTCCAAAACCTCTGTCTCAAATGCTGTGAGTAAAAGTTCAAATTCACCAAAATCAGAGGATCCCGACTGCAGTGACTTCACCCCCAATGAGTAACCTATTGATTACTTAGATGAAGATGCAGCACTGGACAAACATTCATGGCTACAGACTCTGGCTCTGTCTGGCAGAAGAGACTGTTGTGCGAACTCTGAACCACATTCAGGGTCAGCTGACTGGCCTCATTTGAGAGTTTACATGACCTTGTGACACAAAGGACAAAGTGGACCGTAGCTTCTCATTAAGTGAGACACGAGTCTCTTACTCACTCGAGTGATATATTTGTATAAACACTTTTTAAATTGAATTTAAATGCAATGGAGCTCCATTAGCCAGGCAAGTGAGGAGGGTCGAGGCCACAGAGGCCACCAGCCACCACATCGTCCTACTCATCCTCCTGACTGATCTGCAGTGAATGAAGGCTGTCACTCGCCTTTTATCCTCCGTCCACCCTCCTCCTGCACCTCCGCCTTACCTGACCGAGGGTTTCTGCACACACATATGAACTTATACCCACATTAACATTGTTATCATTTACCAGCAGCGATTGAGAAACTGTTGAGCTTGGAGAGAGTTTATCTCTGCTCTGAGGACAAAGATGAACAACACAAAATAACTTTGAGAATGAACAGTTCACGGCAACGTTACAAAAAACAGCTTAAAATCTTTTCTACAGGGACATTTTTTGTTCATTTTAAATCTCGTTGTGGACCTGATAAATCAGCATATTTACCCCAAAACAAACAAACATATTGAATTGGCAAACAGACAACTAATCAGGTGAGAGCTGTGTTGAGTAATTTCTCGGAAATTTTTGTTTAGGTTTCAACAGCAGAGACTTTTCTACAGTGACGATCTAATCAAAATCATTACTGGCTATAATTTTATTCAAATAGGCTGAATAATCTGAATGTCGCAAATGTAGATTTATTTAAACATTGATCACATTATTTGGTAAAACTTGCTGTTCATGGTCCACCAGGTAACCACATAATAATTTTGTTCTGGCCTGGGAAATCTATTATACTCTTTCCACACCTCCTAAAAAAGGATTTTATTTTTCAAACGCTGTGTAACTCGTGCTTAAAATCTGGATAACTTATTTTCTTGTAACCTTTGACAAACCCTTCGGCAGCCACACAGTGTGTTTGCTCTGCGTGTCCAGAGTTCAATTATTTGGACATGGAGAAAGTTTATTTGGATGGTCATAATGAAAGTAGGTGACTCCAGGTTGCCCTCTGCTGATAAACTACAGCCTCTTTTATTTCCACAGTGTTCTGGTGGCATAAAAGAATGAGAAAAAAGCGCGATAGAAATAGAGTCCAAGATGGAGAGAGAGGGAGAGATATCCGGATCGGTTTCTGATTGGCGCAAACGTGGCCCGTGACTGGGCTCATCTGCATATGGACAGGTAGGTGAGCAGGTGAGAGAAAAGGTTCAGCTATGCCGCAATCACACGACCCCTGACCAGATTAAGAGTTTAGGTGCTTCGTCCGAGCATCTTGCTTTGAACCAAAAGTTACATCCAGGACACTTCCACTCCATGGAATTGATCAAAAACAGGCTTATCCTGCATACAGGGTCACTGGAGTCAAAGTATTACTTCATTAACAACGGTGAAATATAAATCAGTCATGCAAACGGTTATTAACATGATCTGCGTTTCTCGACCATTGTTACGTCCCCAGAAATCTGGGTTCGTATAATGTTTCCAATTAGGGGATTACGTGTGTGTGTGTGTGTGTGTGTGTGTGTGTGTGTGTGTTTGTTTTCCAGACAGGATTGGGACCCGGAGCTTCACCCCTCTCGTCATTGGTTGCAGCTGGCTGGGCTCTTTAAAAAGCCCAGTTTTGGATCAGTTCGGGGGGATGCTCGCTGCATATTCACACATGTTGCTTTTGGTTTGTACCCTGTGTGAGGAGATATCAGTTGTGTTTAGTGTTCGATAACTTGTGTTCCTTTTGGAAACGTGTAGCAGCAGAAGAGAGCAACTGTTTGGGTCATTTGACTAATTATTTGTTTTCTCTTTTGTTCACAGGGAGTGGGGTGTAGATTTAGAGCTACCCCGGGGATACATCACTCGTAGGTTTACTTCTGTCTAGAAACACCAGTTTAGACCTGAGCGGACCACCACCTGTAAGTTTGGTTAGGGCGCCTTGACCGTGTGCCAGGTAGAGTGCTTTTCGATTGGGGGGGGTTAGTACAGGTTAGGGGTGGGGACCTTTTTGTTTATTTCTTTGTTTTGGTCCTGCCAGCCCTCCCCATTTCCCAGAAAGTTATTGTTTATTTATGTGTATTTATTTTGTTTAGATAAAAGCGTTATACTATATTTTGTGTTTGTCCTTTTCTCGCACCGCGACTCCATACCCCTTTTGCTGGCACCGGTGGGCCGGAGCAGTGGGTTGTCATGTTCCCCTCCCTTTTGGGAGCTGGAACGTAACAACCATGATAGTTATTTGTCGTGAACGGCCAAATGTTACTTCACTATTTAAATATTGCCGCCACAAGGAATTGTGGTATTGAATTATCTTCTTTCGTAAAGCATGGTCCAGTGGTTCTTATGCTAAAGGACTCTTCAGCAGGTGGCCGGATTTGTTTATACAAGTTGTCAAATTGCGCAGCAGCCGGAGCTACATGTCTTGTGTTGAGATTAAGTCATAATTTTGTCCTTGTATAACTGCATCACTGAGTGTTTTTTGTCTTTATTTGAATGAGATTCCCCAAATAAAACCAATGGCCTTACTGACTAAAACGCCCACTGCACAGTAAATTCCAGCTGTAAAACCTTAAAGTTTTGATTCACGATTGTTAAACATATTAAAGGACGCAATAAAAGCTCAAAGATATCCTGATTTACTTTTTGAATGTACAAATGTTAGACGTTTTCTTTAGTATATTAACTAATGTCTGTAACTGTGTAGTCGAAAAAGTCTTTTACACATATATGTACTTCTATGTCTGGAATTATTGGGGAAAGTATTTTTAAAACAGTTAAAATATTGAGGAATGAGTACTTCATATTCAGCATCCTTGAAGTCAGAGAGGTCCTTAACACATATGCATTGGTCTATTTAGAAATGTGTTTTTATTGCAGTTCAAATTTGGAGAAAGTACCAAATTTGTACACTTAAAATACTTTGCGCATGCGTGCCGTGACCGATGTTCGGCGATGGATTGGCACTGCCTTTTGCCGATATATTGGGCACTCCTGGATTAAAGGAACATTTTCCTTCTTGGGAATTTGAACAGCCGAATAATTTTTGTTGACATCATTGTTTAGAACGACAAACAATATTACAGTAAGTAACCATTACTTTATTCTGTGAAGAAAACAGTAAAAATTATTGAGTCCATTTGATTTTGATTAATACAGTGCATAGTTGGCCCTAATAGATCTCATAATCTGGAAAGATTTACATAAAAGAGTAAAATCCCAATACAAATTATTTGAAAAACATTATTTTGTTTAGTTTCACTACTGCTGACACCCAAACGTTTCGTACTGGTCGACCATATTTTCAATGCCCGTACAGGTAGGTCTGTATTCATCCTTTTGACACTCTGCGTCTGTGGGCCAATACTCAATCCAGGTTCTCCCTCCAAGAAAATACTGAAACCTGAGGAAACAAAAAGGCAAAAAAATGCATTGGTTCAACAGTTATCTGTCATACACAAACATATGAAATAGCCTCCTCCCTCCTTTATGTTAATTTACTTTGCCAATAGACACAAAAACATATAAAAAAAGAAAGACTAACTTCATTTAGTAATAAACCGCATAAAACAGTTAAATACACACACACACCACACTCATTCCTATTAAGAAGAAGCTTACGATTGGTCATTTTCATCTGCGGTAATATCTTGGGATGAGCCCATGATAAGGTAAGTTTTGCCTAATCTCAAATCCAACGACTCCCTGCAATGCGGAAGACTGATGAATGTGCGCAGTTTATTCACAGGACCCACGTCCTTGCTTCCTGTAATTGAGACATGAGATAGAAAAGGTAAGAATTAAATGGATAGTTTAAGGTTCAGTACAATAAATTAGCAAAGTATACATATTACTAATGCAACAGTTGAATCATACTTAAGGTAGTTGTGATACGCTAATTATATAACATACACACTAGAATAAGTCAGCCTGGCTCTGTTCAAAGGTAAGAAAATCCACCTACTGGCACTTCTAATTATTTAACAATACTATCTAACAATAAAAAATAAAATGACTTTTCTTAATTACTAAAATGTTCTTCAAAGAATAATCACCTGAAACTAAGAGTCATGTTTTTACCTCACAGGTAGATGCAGCCAGACTACAAAGAAACATTTATTGTCAAGGACAAACCAGTAATGAGTGTCCGCTTGTTATCTATTAATACAAGCTAATTGCACTGGCTGCTACAAAAACGTGAGTAAAACTAGTTTTCTCCTCCAACTCTGACAAAAGGCAACTGTCGTAAAATGATAATTACTCACCTTCTTTGATGGTTTTCAGAACTCGCACAGTGTTCACATCAATGGACGAATCTACTTCAGACAGTTCCACTTTCACTTTGTACGCTTAGGACAGAGCAGTTGCAGACTGTTAGCAGACATGTTTGTACTTGCTATATTTTATTACAACAACATACATTTATTTGTACACAAGTGCATATTAATGCAGTCAAGCTCACTTACCAAAATCTATTTTGTTGTTCACTTCAGTCTCACATATCTTTTCTGTGCGCTGATCATTGCTGACTTGGTCCTTCTTCTGCATACTGCAATTCTCTGGAAATACACAATGCACCAAGTGAGAACACAACCGGTGACCCAGTGACATAATCACGTGTGTGTGTGTGTGTAAGAGTTGACGAGTGAAACTCTACCTAAAGGACAATAGTACTTCTTTAGTGAGACTGCTGCTCTGATCCTAGAATCCTGGAGGGCGTGTTGCCTCTGATAAAAAGTTCTAGTCGTTACAATCTGGTGACTTACTTACTTACTTTGTTGAATTCATTTTAAAAGCTATTTCATATTTAGTCTTATTCACATGGGATCAGGCAGAACAGAACAGACGGTAAAATACATTTTCGCCTGATTACACGTGAAAGGTGTCAGTCTTAGTCTTTCACTGCAAAGGCTTATTTATTATAATACATTTTGTAGTTTTAGTCAATAAAAAACGAAAATGCTGCAGTGGACGAAAAGGACATGCAACACGCTGTGTGTGTGTGTGTGTGTGTGTGTGTCCAAGACTAAAAGAGGACTCATCCTGTACCTTCAGCACATGTGCACTCATCTTGGTCCTTTTTACAGAGCCGTGTTAACATGCCAGCTTCCCTTTCTGGATGGTAGAATTTCACACAACGTTTTTCTGCAATGGAGAAGAAAGATATTTGCAAAGGGAGTTTGTGATTGTTGCAGTAAATCAGAACATTTGTAATAAAGACTTAATGAATCTAATATTGACCGCTTATCCACAGTGTTGTCTCTGGCATTCATTGGCAGTAAAGTACATAACATTATTTGTTACCGTCATAGTAATCGTAAACAGACACAGCAGCTGGTTGAAGGGCAGCTGCTTTCATCGTCTGATGGACCCTAAAAGTGATCTCCTCAGGCAGCGTGTGAGAAACCTTTGGACAAAAGTGAGATGAGATAAAGACACAAAGAACAAGGCAGGGACAGACATATTGGCAGGAAACCGGGATGTCTTACCTTGTTCAGGTAGATGATGAGTGAGCCTCTATCTGACAGAACTGTGTTCATCTCATAGTTTGCAATGGTGCGAGCAGGTCCTTTGGACAGCTACACACACACACACACACACACACACACGCACTCAGAAGGCTTAAACTTTATCCTAAACACAGCTGCACTGGGTTTACATGTATCGGTCATATCTTACTCGGTTCAAGTCATTTATGTCAGCAGTGAAGCCGGTTAGCAAGCCAATATCCAAGATTGACATGGTTGCATCACGCTCGGTGTCCTTATACCTACCCAAAGAACAGCGGCATGAACAACATGAGAGAAAGGATGATGTTAATTAGGTTGGAAAATGCTCTGTATATACAGACATGTTACTGTGACACTGGTCGGTATGACGTCTTTATCGTACTCACAAAACCTCTATTTTCAGCTTGTAAACCTTTGGGTCCACATCCATTTTTTCTGCAGGAGCAAAGTAATGTGGTAACTGTTTCTGAACTGATAAAAGGACACAGCAATGACCGTAAGAGAGAGGTGCGCTCATTACTGGGAGAGCTGCACGGACAAGCGACCCTCACAGCGTCTCCTTTCTTTAGCGAGTG